CTTTGCAGAGGAGTGCTCAGTAATATTCATTGTGCCTTTGTCTCTTCTTTTGCTCTTGATCATTGTACTTCTGGTTAGCAGAGTCTTCTTCTTGGGGCAGGTTTCTAAGCTGTGTCACCCACCGGTCTACAATGCGATTTTACTTATTGCAGTTGGCACACAACTTTTTGCTTGCAGCCACTTGTGCCACAACCTCCAGCAAGTTCCAGATCTGGGTTCTTATGTCAGATATCCACTGTGATCTCCACAGCCCCAGCTCTTGGCTCACCACTCTCCACCTCCTGTGATACCGTGCTGAGGCTGCACTGTTGTCTCTGCAACCTTTCTCCCACTTCCAGTTGGACTGAGTTCCAGGATTAGAGAGACACCAGGTGTCCTATCTAGTTAGGTTGTTGGTGGTGCTGATCTTGTCGGAACCTGTTGGACGTTAGGTCTGGGTGCCACACGGACCTATTTTGACCGGTACAATGTCATAGTCGGTATTATTTTCCTGCGGGACCTCAGCAAGCTCTCGCGAGCTCAGCACATGTGCAGTTCTCTGTTGTCCCCTGCAGTCCCAATGCTATTGCCACAATGCGCAAAATGGTGCCCAGCGTGCTACCACAACAGTTCTTGATCTGCTGGCCGTCAGATCTGAGGGCTACCCAGACATGCCGCGGATGGAACCCGTAGAATGCCACGTTGTTGCAGATCACCAGTCAGAAATGAGCTCACTCCCTGCTCAGAGCATGCTCAGTCCTTTCCCTTGCCCTTTCCTCCTTACGCAAAATGGTGCCCAATTCAGCTCTAGGGGCTGACTGGGCTATGAAATTCACTCTGTTCTCACACTGCCTGAGATTTGCTGCTCTGTCTCTGCTCCTGGTCAAATCAAATGGAACAGCAGGATGGACAGTACTTTGTCTGAGTTCACCTCCCAAGCTCCCAGTGAAAGTCCCTTCCCACCTGGTTGCTGGTGGAGTTCAGATCGCCGTGCTGGAGTATCAGTCACTGCAACACCACACTGCTGTGCCCGCTGCTTTCCTGTGTCTGTCAGTCTCCAGGTACCCCTCTGCTGTTCTGTCCTTTTCTATTTCCTGAAATATGTCCTCTCTGCTTCATCCTGATTAAATGTTTCTCCGTCTGATTAAACATGTCCTGACCCTATTCTGCCATCTTGATTTTCCACCTCCCCTCACCTTTCACGGGTGATGGTCTTACACAGACAGACACTGCGCACCCTGACTGGGATCCCTTGGGTGGTGTCCAAATTCCCTGCCGTGGGACCCATGGCACCTTCCCCTTAATGTTGCCCTCTGCTATATGGTGGCACCCAGCACCCTCTAAATCACAGCCATGCCACCCAGCCTCCTTGCTCTTGCTTGCCCACCACGACCTTCCCTCCCACTCCCACCCCATCCTTGTCTGACCCACCCCTGCACTCCAGTGTTGTTCTTCAGGGCACTTAGGGCCATTCCCTGAGCAAAGCACTCAAGCTTTCTCCTGCAGCCTTTACACAGAGTTAGAGCTCATGTGCTTGGCCAAGGGCAGTTCTTGCGTTGAGGTTCTGGGGGACCACAGCACAGGGGAATGCTCTGTTTCTGACAGTCAGCATCCCATCCACTTCCTGGGGCAACACGTGGGCTGTGCTCAGTGGGGTCAGGCTCTGGCGGTGTTCCTCTGGCTGCCTGGCCTCCTCTTCCTCACTGCTTGGTCCTTGTCCTCATTAACTAAAGAAGAAAGCCATCTAACCTGACTGCAGCTGGATCCACCTGACATGCCGACACCCCTGGAAGCAGACGGGTCTAGCCTTGTTGGGGACATGCAGGCACCGTGTTTAAGCCATGAGCCTCAGTCAGGGGTGATTCTGCCCGTGGTCCTCAGAAGAGACTGCAGATGGAGATTTTTTCTTTTTTTGATTCTGTGATATGGAGGAGGAGCAGCCAAGAGGAGGATCAGCCCTGCATAGAAGGATAACTTCCCCAAAAGACGGAAAAGAAGAGATGACGGCGTTCTGGACAAAATGTCCAAGCAGGTGCCAGCGTGCATCCACATGGTCCGGGGACTTGACCGTGATCTCAGCTGCAGGTTTCGATGGGCGCCTTTCAGAAGCTGCTGCAGGTTTGAGGGAAATCTCCGCAGACCCCCTCTGTCCATCTCCCCGTGTCGGGGGCATGGAGGGGCTTGCCTGCCCGTCTTGTGCTGCCTGAGGAAGATGCCTTCTTCTCCACCTGCTGAGTCTGCCACCACTGCTTCCACACTTAAGCTTGAATGCAGGGAGTGGAAACACTGAGTCTGGATTTTCCTCTCTGATGCAGAAGTGGCCCTCAGGCGGAGTAGCCAGGTGATCTTGTTAAACCGAAAGCAGGTGTACCCATCCTGTTCACGTCTTCATCAGCTTGGCCTCCATGTGCAATGTCATTGTGACCGCAAAGCTAGAATTGGATCCCCACCCAGCATGATATTGTACATGGTTGACATGATGTCATGAGGATGGGACTCATAGGGTAGGGACAGGGATTGTCTTATGAGAGACACGCTGTAACCCCCTCTATCCATCTCCCAACCTCCCGACTCCCAGCAAAGAGGTCACGTGAGGCCATGGTGCAAAGGTGGATCCCTCTGGACCCTGAATCCTGGGCAGCTTGACCTCAGACATCTTCCTGCAGAACCACGAGAAGCAGAGACTCCTCTGACCTTTCATGACTCCAAGGTGAAGACCCCAGGAGCACGCTGGCCTCCCACCCCCTGAACCCAACTCCCCGGAACATTTTGTGCAGGTGGCACTTCCTGTCAGCAAACATTGTGTTCTCCTGCGCCAGAGTGTTTGATCAGGCTATGGGTACTCGGCATGGTCATTTGACATCCCTCAGTTAATTCCTAGAACACAGACTCTGACTTCCACCCCGAGCCCTGGTACCCTAGTTCCTCCAGGTGTGAGGGGAGCACTCACCTGGGAGGAAGAGCAGGAGCAGAGTGGGAGGCAGCCACATGGTCCTGACCCCCGTCCTCGGTGACCAGCACCCGATCCTTCCAGGAGACAAGCTCTGGGGTGAATGCCCGTGCCTGATCTCTCCTTGGGGCCTCTGCTATGCACTTCCTGCTCTGTGAGCAGCCACTTCTCAGTTTGACATATTAGGACAGAAGGGTGTTGCCCAAAGGTCAGCTGAGCCTCCACCCCACCCCAGGGAGCCATTCCACCTGGATGTCCCAGCACGGGCTGGGGCAGAAAAAAAAAAAAAAGTAAAATGTAAAAGGGAAATTTAATGGCTAGAAGATAATGTAGAATTTTGGGGTGTAGATTTGGAGGCAGAAACAAGAATTTACTAAGCAGATGTATAAGGCTTAAACTGCGACCAGGCGTGGTAGCTCAGCAGCTAAAGTCCTGGCCTTGATGCTCCAGAATCCCATATGGGCGCCGATTGTAATTCTGGCAGCACTGCTTCCATTCTAGCTCCCTGTTTGTGACGTGGGAAAGCAGTTGAGGATGGCCCAAAGCCTTAGGACCCTGCATCTGCATGGGAGATCTGGAGGAGGCTCTTGACTCCTGGCTTTGGATTGACGCAGCTATGGCTATTGCAGCCACTTTGAGAGTGAATCATTGAACGGAAGATCTTCCTCTCTGTATATATGACTTTGTAATAATGATGATAATAATAATAATAATAATAATGTATAACCCTAAAGGAAAAATCTGTAATAATATATTCCAGTATGGTGAAAAATTATTTCCCAAAAATTTTCCCAAAGCTGACAGCTAGCAAACACTATTCAGAAGCACTTACAAAGAGGTTTTACAAACAAATAAATGAAAAAAAAAAAAAAAACAGAGATGAGAGGAACAGGTGAATGATTAGAACAGACATGTCACAAAAGATGAAATCCAAGGAGCCTAAACACGTGGAAGGAGCTTGACCTCCTGGGGGTCCTGTGTCATGCACGTGGTGACCAGGATGTCCTATCTGGTGAGGCTCAGCGCCCTGGGACTGCATGTGGGGGTGGGATGTTGCCATGGCAACTCTGGGACAAATCTGGGGTTGGTTAGGGAACTGCTTGAGCACTGACAGCAAAGCCCAGTATTTTCCCCTGGCGTCTGGGAGACCCACTTGGACCTGAGAGCCCTTGGGTCACATATGGGACACATGTTTGACCAGGTTCTTAACAATAGTGTAGGTAACAGCTGCAAAGTATCAAATAAATAATTAAATTAAAGTAAAAAAAAAACCCAAAAACCAGAGGAGGTTGGGTGAAGAAGAGAAAGGAGAACCAAGAAAAAGGAAAATGACCCAATGCCTTCAGCAGAAGGGGTAAACATATTTATTCAACAGAACGTAGAACTTGCAAGGAAATGGCTCAATCAGGAGCTGCCAAAATGCAACCTGAATGATAAGATTACGTCAATCACAAATGAAATACTTCTGTTTTTTTCACACACACAAAAAATCTTTATTGATTACATTGCATTGTGTGACACAGTTTTATAGGCACTAGGATTTCCCCACCTGTCCCCAAACCCTCCTCCCATGGTGGATTCCTCCACCTTGTTGCATAACCACAGTTCAAATTCAGTTGAGATTCTTTCATTGCAAGCATTTACCAAGCATAAAGTCCAGCATCTTATTATCCAGATAAGTTCAACCGTTTCTTGAACTTGAGGAGACCATTTCTGGTCTGAAGGTAGAGCCGACAGAGTATCATCCCGATCAATTAAAAGCCCCCCAAAATGAAATACTTCATCCTTCTGTTTTCCATAACGTTCAGAAACAAAGCTACATGAGACACCCTTTGGAAATCCACATGTGTTTCTTTGCTAATCTGGTGAAACACTCCATACAGGTGCCTGCAAACACCGAAATCCCGTTGAATTTGCAGGGGACACGGCTCTGAAAGGGGAACAGGCTTGGGGCTCCATCACCCTGTGTGCCCCACTATTCTCCATGCAGTGTGGTGCCCAGATGCCACGTGTGGCTTCAAGAGTGCACGTGGGCTGGTTACATCCTTCTGTGCCTGTGATCTGCTGGTTGAAGACAAATGGTTGACATCACTCCGATCATCTCATTCCCAGGACACTCCTGTAGGGTTGAGCTGGCCTCTCTCAGTGTGCCCTCTGCAACCTCTTTTTCATCCAGAGGACAGCCCCGAGCGTGCCCAGGAGCAGGGGCAGCTTCAGGAAGACCGGGAGCAGGAGGAGCTTCAAGGAGTGGACGCTGCTGAGCTGGGACCTGCCAGGGATGCGATGACAGAGAGTAAGTCTCCTTCCCAGAGGGAGGCCGTGCAGCTCTGGGCTTCATCCCCATCCCTTCAGCCCAGGTCCAGTGTCCACTACAATGCAAGGAGGACCAAACCCGGCAAAAGGACCAGGGGCCTGTGACTATGAGCCAAAGGGTCACCCTTGAACTTGAGCTTGGGACGCTGAGGAAAGGCATTCCCAGACAGGGCAGTGAGAAAACATCCAGGGATCCAGGACAGTGCTGTGGCCAGAAGATCCCCTCTGAGCCTGCCATTTTGGGCTTACCCCTCCAGGGATGCATGAATCAGGGCTGGGCATAACTGGTTCACATCTGTTCGCAACTCCCACCAAATTAGCCTTTCCCAAGATGGAGAGGGCTCAGGGACAGAAGCAAGTGTGTGTTTTGGGCATGCACCACAGAGGTCTGGTAGAACTGCCTGCTCAGGGCTCCTGTGCCTCAGAGGGCCAGACTTGTCAAGGCAGGCTGGCTGCTGTGACCAGGAACGGGGCTGAGGAGCCATAGGGAACAACACCCAGGTTCCTGGTTCCCCAGACCAGCTGCAGCAGCACAGCCTGGTTGGCCCTCAAGGCTCCTGCACAAGGATATTTGTATTAGCTTGGCACAAGGGTAACCTGGACTCCAATCCCTGTTTGCCCGAACCCCTACCCTGCAGGACTGCACTCAACAAGGCCACCTCTGAACACCTGGTACAATGGCATGATGGCACAACCTCCTGCCCACACTTCCCCCTCCAACTCAGTGAAGTCATCTTTCACAGCGTTCAGCAGAAACGGGCCTTTCCATGACACAGGGAATTCAGCAGCTGACTCCAGAGCTGTTATCTCCGGTCACTGCTAAGCGTCAGGGTTGAGAAAAGGCCACTGCCCCAAGTAGGACCTGCTCAGCAGAGTGTGGGAACGTGAGTACAGGAAGAGCCAGGAGGAGGGAGACACAAATCCACCTGCTGCCCCTTCCACCCAGAGGAGAAGCCTCAGGAGGCTCTGACCCAGATGTGGTCCCCCTTACCGAGGTGGTGGGCTGGGCCGGTTGTGCACAGGCAGGGTCAGCTCTGGGAGCAGGGTCATCACGGGGACCAGGGTGTCTGTGGTTTTCAGGGGGTTGGAGGATTGTGTCGGTGCTGCGGCTGAAGCACAAGTCAGTGTGGGGACTCTCCCCTCACCCGTGCACGCCTCCGTCCCCATACCAGGTCACCCAGGGGGAAGGACAGATGTGCAGAATCCAGCATGCCCCATGGCACTCCCATGCCTGATCCCAGGTTGGTACCCGCCTCAATTCCATCTCCATCAGCTCAGCAGAGGGGGCGCTGTGAGCACCTGTGGCAACACACACATGCCTGCCCCTCTCCCCCAAGACACACCCACTCCTCTGCCTGCTCCCCACCCTCCTTAGAGAAACACTCCTAGATGTCCACTGTGACCTGGGACTAGGGGCCCAGGCACTAGATGGGGCTGAGGACTGCTGGAGGCTTCGAAGCAAGAGCAGGCATGGTCAGCAGGAGGCTGAATGCTGGGAGGTGGTGTCCACCCAGCCTGCTCAGTCCTGATGCTGGGAGCCAGGGCTTGGCCACAAGCAGCATCCCTAGGCCATCATCTGTGGGGGATTAGGAAGAAAGATCTAGAGAGAGTGGACTGTGGGGAACTGGCTACTTCCCTGCTTTTAAAGTTGACCTTCCCCAGGCTTGAGAGGAAGCCCCCCATGGCAAGTGGGGTGGTGGTAACCATAGCCAAGATGGAGGAAGTCAGGGAAGCCCTGTTCAAAGCTGTCTTGTCCTTCTGCCACATTCAGAGGTTCTCTGTGTTCGTGCTGCAGTACAAGGTGCAAGAAGAGAGGGAGGCAGGATCACCTGAGGGGTGCAGGTTGAGGTTCCCAAGGGTGTCTGCAGGAGTGAGACCTGGCTCCTCCCTTGGCTCCCCCTGGTGGCTGCTGAAGACGCCTGAACCACAACTGTGAGGGTGCTGCCCTGACAGGTGGTACTGCATCAGAGCCCATACCCACCCATCCTGCCCTGCTCTGACCCCTGTTAGCCAGGGCAGCCTGGGAGGGAGGGAGCAGGTGTCCTTAGACCCTATTCCCCCTTGGGAGGCTGCACACAGTTGCACAGGAGATGGAACTTGTTCAGGGTAGGAGGGCAGCAGATACCTGTGGTCTCTGGGACATGCCCACTCCAAACCCAAGGAGAGCTAGGTCTGAGCAGTGAGGTGGGACCCAGAGAAGAGTGGCACCACTTGGAGCCGGTGTGGTGCCATCTCCCCCAACACATGGCATGCCCCCTTCCCATGACACTCCTCTATTCAGAGAGGTATTGGGTAGACTCTGTCTCAGGCAGCTTTGGTGCTGGGGAAAAGGGACTCACCTGGGGACACACGCACCTCAACCAAGAAGGTGGCATCCCAGCTCAGTGTTATATCGATCCCACACTGGTATGTGCCCGCGTCCTGCAGGCGGAGCTCCTCCAGGGTCACTGTGAAGCTGAGGCTTGCAGGATCGTCCCTGATGGACACGCGGCCATTCCGCACTTCTCTCTCTGACACTTCTGTCATCACAATCTCCTGGTTTGGCCCACACGATTGATGGCACAAGAATTTTCTGTTGTTTTTATATTTCTCCTCATAGTGACACTGAACACTCAAGGAGCCTCCAACTGTGCCTGCCACGACTCTGGGGCAGCTCAGGGAGAAACAGCCTGGAAGACACACACACAGGACCCAGGTGTGTGTGGGTGGGGTGTCCTGAAGGCAGGTCCTGGAGGTGTGGTCTGAGAGGGACCCACAGGGGACTGGTTTGCATCACCCTGGAGTGTGGACTGGGTGTGGGGCATGAGGCACCTCTCCCCAAGATGGGGATGTGAAAGTGCCCATTCTCCCAGGGAGGGCAGGGCATCTGTGAACACTCCTCTGTGTGTGTGTGTGTGTGTGTGTGTGTGTGTGTGTGTTAGGGTCAAGACAACATTCCAGATTGCATATTTAGAGCAAAAACCTTCCTTGGCATACCACCCTGAGCTTTGACTCTACACTGTGTTTAGGAACCTGGTTCCCCTGCTTTGTGCACAGAGCCCACTGGTCACCTCTGAGACAGGCACGGATGCTCGTGGATACCTCTCCACCCTCCTGCCGTCTCTCCACAGCCCAATACCCTCTGGTAGCCAACAGTTTCACACCCGCATGCCGCCCAGCCCACGGCCCTCCCACTTAGGGCACAGTATCCTGGTCCAGGGCCATCCCACTCACCTTGGACATGTAGGAGGAACAGAGCTGACAGAAGCCACACAGATCTGGACCTCATTTCTGCAGCACAGTGGTCACCAGCAGCCACTCCAGGTCCAGCCAGGGACAAAGCAGAGCCTTGTCAGAGAAGGTACAACGTGCACCTCCCCGCTTCTGCTTTTCCACTGCTGGGGTCTGAGCTGGTCTGGGCTGGGTGCAGGCACAGCTGAGCTGTGCAGGCAGCTGGTCTTGGGATCCTGGGATCCTGTCACTCCCAGTGATGGCACAACCTGGGGACTGGGGATGCAGCCGCTGGTCTCACTGTCCCACTCGCACACAGCAGAGCCCATTGAATCATTTCCTCCTCCATACTTCCTCCACGCCCCTGTGATATGTCACTTCCTATCATGAGAACAGCTCTGGTTGTGGGGCCTAACTCTGACCATCCTCTCCAGTCTCTGTGGTGACACGGAAGGGCTGTGTCTCCCTGCCCACTGACCCAGACTGGCTGCTTTGGTAGCAATATATCTTGAAACCACAAGAGGATTTGAGTTCCCACAGGAGTCAAGGATGGAAGATGCTGAGACCACAACCCACCGCTGTGGTCCCTGTCATGTTTCTAAAAGGCTTATTGTGGTGTTAGGGTATCTTGGGGCCTTGCAAATTCAAGGGTTCTTCCCCTTCCAGAATTAGTTAAATTCCATTTGGAGTAAAGGACTGGGGTTAATCCAAAGACAAGAGCCAGGAGCCGGGAGACACTCTGGGTGTCCCCCGTGAGTGCAGGGACCCAAGGACTGAGCCCTTTCCTGCTTCTTTTCTGTTGGGAGCCATCTATTTTAACCAACTGAAGCCATTTTTTTTTTTAAAGATTTATTTTTATTATTTTGTTATTGGAAAGGCAGATGTACAGAGAGGAGAGACAGAGAGGAAGATCTTCCATCCGATGATTCACTCCCCAAGTGAGCGCAACGGGCCGATGCTATGCCGATCCGAAGCCAGGAGCCTCTTCCGGGTCTCCCACGCGGGTGCAGGGTCCCAAAGCTTTGGGCCGTCCTCGACTGCTTTCCCAGGCCACAGGCAGGGAGCTGGAAGGGAAGCGGGGCTGCCGGGATTAGAACCGGCGCCCATATGGGATCCCGGGCGTGCAAGGCGAGGACTTAACCACTTGCGCCACCGCGCCGGGCCCCTGAAGCCATTTTTAATATAGATCTAGGTCAGTGGGAAAACGCCAGCCAGCCAGGTGAAAGAGAAACCAAGTCTTAAGATGCCCTGCGGTTTTCAGGTTACCTTCAACCCACCCTGCTCTGATCACCCTTGGTGCTCGTAACAGGATGTTGGCTTGTGCCCTATCTGTCAGCATCGTCTTGCGAGCATAAGGGGCTTTTGGAAGTGTCTGCCTAGAAAGAGTTGTGAAAGCATACCTCAGATCTTGCTTTCTCTTTCCCCTCACCCGTACATCCTGTTTTGTAGAGTATAAAAGTTTGTGTGTGAAAAATAAAATTTGGTCAGCTTGATCAGACATCCTGTCTTGCTGTCCGTTTCTTGTGTCTCCTGTCCCCCCTTCTCTCCTAGGTTGACTGCGACCCTGTTGACTGTCCTGCTGGACGGGACACTTTTCCAAGTGCATAAGCAGGGAGCTGGATCAGAAGCCGAGCAGCCAGGACATGAATTGGTGCCCATAAGGGATGCTGGCATCGCAGGTGGAGGATTAGCTGGCTTTGTCATGGGGTGGTCCTTCCAGCTGTGTTTGAAAAGCCTGATCCTGTTGCCACATATCCTGTCCATGAACTGAGAAGTAATTCCAATTAATCTTTGACCTTTTAAAACATAATTTTTGAAGATTTTAAATTTTATTTTTATTAGATTTACAGAGAGAAGGAGATGGACAGAGACAGTATCTCCACGTGCTGTTTCATTCCTCCATGTGGCTGCAACACCACTGAGCTGATCTGGAGCTAGCAGCCATGACCTTCTTCCAGGTCCCCAATTCAGGTCAGGGTCCCAAGACTTTGGGTCAACTCTACTGCATTCCCACAGCACAAGCAGAAAGCAGGATGGGAAGTGGAACAGCTAGAACATCAATCGGCAACCACAGGGGACCCCAGTGTGTGCAAAGTGAAGATTTAGCTACTAGGCTATCTCTGCGGGCCCTTAAATATATTTTAATAATATATTATTTTCTCCCTGAAACTTGCTGTCATATTTGTTATTTTCATTCTGGCTATCACAGGTTTAGGTGCCAGCTTTTTTTTTTTTAAGATTTATTCATTTTTATTGGTAAGGCAGATATAGAGAGGAGGAGAGACAGAGAGGAAGATCCTCTGGCTGCTGATTCATACCCCAATTGGGTGCAACGAACAGAGTTACACCTATCCAAAGTCAGGAGCCTATTCCAGGTCTCCACGAGAGTGCAGGGTCCTAAGGCTACAGGCCGTCCTCAACTGCTTTCCCAGGCCACAAGTAAGGGAAAGCATGAGAGGCAGAGCAGCCAGGACTAGAACTGGTGAGTGGCAGCTTTTAAATGCATTGGAAGTTGCTCCTTGCCTGTCTATGGATAAATAATTGAACTTGGGCTGATTTGGTGGCACAGGATGCTAAGGCTGTGCCTGTGGTTCCAGCATCTCATACAAGTCCCTGTGCGCCACGTCCCTTAGCTCCCTGCCTGGCAAAGCAGCAGAGGCTGACCCAAGTCCTTAGGCCCCTGCACCCACATGGGAGAGTCAGAACCAGCTCCTGGCTTCAGACTATCCCAGCTCGAGTGGTTGGGGCCACTTGGAGAATGAAGCAATAGGTGGAAGATGTGTATTTCTCTCTCTCCTTGTCTCTATAACTCTGCCTTCCTAATGAAAAACAAAACAAACAAACAAAAAAACAAAACGGTCTTTGCATGCTGATTTTACATGCCCGTCAAGTATTGGTGTGGAATAGATACTTCTGCTTCCCAAGCGTCCTTGCTCTGTGGTGCTGTGCAAGCTAAGCCAAGTGCTGGGTCACTGTGGTCATTTCCAGCCTGCTTGCCCTCCTGCTGGTCTTGAAGGGAAGACCTTGAACGACTGGTCTTTGGTCATGATGGGCTGCTTGGAAACATCCTGCTCAGGTTAGCAGCCTCCCATGAGGAGCTGTGGATTTTTTATTTAAAGATTTATTTTTGTTATTTTTTTATTGGAAAGGCAGATATGCAGAGAGGAGAGACAGAGAGGAAGATCTTCTGTCCGATGATTCACTCCCCAAGTGAGTGCAATGGCCGATGCTATGCCGATCCGAAGCCAGGAGCCTCTTCCGGGTCTCCCACGCGGGTGCAGGGTCCCAAAGCTTTGGGCCGTCCTCGACTGCTTTCCCGGGCCACAGGCAGGGAGCTGGAAGGAAAGCGGGGCCGCCGGGATTAGAACCGGCGACCATATGGGATCCCGGGCGTGCAAGGCGAGGACCTTAACCACTGCACCACTGCGCCAGGCCCGAGCTGTGGATTTTGACGGTGCTTTGCTGCACCTGTTGACACGGCTGTTTGGCTTGTCTCCTTTAGTCCGCAGGTGTGAGGAATGACCCTCGTTTTGATACTGAGCCAAACCTGTTCCACCCTCCCAGAGGAAGGAAAAAGGAGAGACAGTGGCCTGGCTCACATCATCTGGGCAGAGCCCATACTCCAGATCCATTGCTATTCCCACGCTCATCACCCCAAGCTTTCTGGGTGCCGGTATGCCTTCCCAGGACAGGCCTGATTGCCCCCTCCAACCCTCTGCACCCCTGTGTATATCCCAAGCCACAGCAAGCCCAGGGCCTCCCAGGACAGAGCCGTCCCCCTGAGGCTGGCCCTGGACACTGGGAGAAAGTCCCTCACTTGCTTCCCCCAGCTGATGCTCAAGGGTTTAGCTGTTGGGTTCTATGTGAAGGTGCCAGCTCAGGGATGGCGGTTGATGGTTAGGGCTGCCCTCCTCCTCGTGAGAGAAGCCAGCAGGCTCATCTTAGGCCCCTGCCCTGAGCCCACCTGATGCTACCTTCATCGGGGTTTACACAGGGTGCTGATAACGCACAGCGCTCATTCTACACTAGGACTCTGTCCTCGGGCCTTTACCTGCTTTTATCACTTAAATCTCATAACAGTGGTTACAAGCAGATGGAAACAGTGAGATTCCGAAGTTAGGTTAAGGTGTCCCACTCGCTTAGCTTATAAGGAGCACTTGTGTGGGCTAGAGGCCATGTGCGGTGAATCTGATGCCTTTATGACCATGTGGACACATGATCCCTTGTACTTTCTGAACCTCTCCATGGCACTTGAGCAAATGCATGCCTGGCATGCCAAGCACCTGACAGCCAAGTGGAGGACTCCTTGCTTCTGAGAGCCAGCCACCAATGGAGTTGGAGTCCTCGGGTTTGTACCTCTTATTACCCAAGACCCAGCACCCAGATGCCCCATAGCCTGTCTGCAGACACACCTCCTCCCCCTTGCACAGTCCCCTCTGCAGAGGACGCTCCTGACAAGCAACCCCAGCTTACAAAGACATGATGCCCCTCTTGCTGCATAATTAGAAGAGGAAACACTCATTCTCTAGGAGGAAGTGAGTGAGAAGCTCCAGAGCAGGTCAGCCTGCGGAAGGTGTGAGCCTGGGTGCAGGTCCCGCTCTCAGGGTCAGCTGGGATCTGTGCTTTCCTCTGCTGGTAGGTCAAGGGGCCAGAAGAGAAGAGCGAGGACCATGCAGCTGCTGCCAGCTCTGCTCCTTTTCGGACTCCCCGGGTGTTACTTAGAGACCTGGTGGCAGTGGCCATAGGGTGTATTAAGTTATGGGGGAAGGTTTACTGCAAGCTCCAGAGGCTGGTCAGGAACAGAAGTATCTGTCTTAGCCAGGTCTAGGCAAACGGCCGATGACTCTGATTCAGCAAAGGCCCTCTGGGGTACAGTTGAGTGGAGTGCAGCTGAGTGAAGCAATAGAATGTCAAATGAGAGTGTTTGGGGTTAGGTGTTGTCAGAGCAGGGCTGCCACCAATTGGATGCTAGTTCAAGTCCCAGCTGCTCCACTTGCCATCCAGCTCCCTGCTAATGCCCCTGGGAAAGCTGCAGAAGATGAACCAAGGCCTTGGGCACCTGCACCCATAGTGGTGACCCAGATGAATCTCCTAGCTCCTGACCAAAAATCAGTCTAGGAGAGCCATTGGTGCCATCTGGAGGAGGCCTAGCAGCGAAAGTCCTGGCCTTAAACCTGCTGGGATCCCGTATCGCACCAGTTCTAAATCCGGCGGCTCCACTTCCCATCCAGCTCCCTCCTTGTGGCCTGGGAAAGCAGTGGAGGAGGCCCAAAGCCCTGGGACTCTGCACCCATGTGTGAAACCCAGAAGAAACTCCTGGCTCCTGGCTTCGGATCGACATTGACACAGCTCTGACTGTTGTCACTTGGGGAGTAGATCACTGGACGGAAGATCTTTGTCTCTCTTCCTCTCTGTAAGTCTGGATTTGCAATAAAAACAAATAAATCTTTTTTAAAATGAAGGACCTTCCTTCTCTCTCTCTCTCTCCCTCCCCCCCTCTCTCTCTTTCCCTCTCCCTCTCTTTCTCTGACTCAATAACTCTGCTTTTCAAATAAATTAAATTGATCTTAAAAAGACAGAGTTGGTAAACAGAAAGAGTGAGCCTGGAACCCTGACTTTGTGGTGGGCATCCTTGTTTGATGACAGCCCCACGCACCTAGGTAGGTGTTTTGTCTGGGAGGGAGGTGTCAGTGCTTGACCTCAAATGAGCCTCCTGCAGGGGAAGCTGAGGCAGAAGTCAGGGACAGCCATTGAGGTTCTGTCCTCACAGAACTGAGCGTAGAACGGAATGCCTGAGGCAGCTACACACATACACACCAGACACACATACACACACACGCCCACACTACACCATCTTCACCACACACACATTGGCACACAGACTGTGAGGAGTCCCAGTGCAGCTGCAAATGAGCAAGCAAGAAAGACCTTTGCAGAGCTAGCTCGCAAGGAGGAGATGATGAGTAACAGTGCCCTGGACCCAGCTCACCAGTTGCCAGAGTCTGCCTTCTCCAACACAAGTTCCAAATGGTCTGCCATCTGTCAACCCGCCACAGCCGACTCCTGTGTAATGGGACACATTTCTGTCTCAGTATCCCTGAGTTGCCTTTGGATGTGCCATTTTTTTTTATTTAATTTTGACAATCCTTACAAATTTAATTGGGGTAAAAAAGGGTCAAGGTCTAAAGGGGGATATAGAGGAAGAAGCCCCACCCAATCTCCCGCCCACCCCAAGTCCCGGAAGTGGGGTGCGCTCCGAGATACTCGATCAAGTGGTTCCAATAGTTCACTATTCATGGGTCGTTGCCAGTCTCGCCACCCCAATCATGATGTGGTCATTGAAGAGTTCATTGACTGACTCAGTCCCGTCTAGGGTCTCCATTTGCCCAGTCTCTGCTGCCAACAGATGGCTGAGGTTGTTGCTTGATTTGTCCTGTCTTTCCCTGGTTAGGACTCCGAGTCCGGTGTCTCGAATGGGAAGATCCTCGAAGAAATTTTGAGGTATTCCCAGTCCAGATTCCTGCTGTTTTAGTAGCATAGGGCCCATCACAGTCCACTGCCCCGGTCAGCTGGCGGCTGCAGTTGCTGGGCCGGTTCTGTCTCCACCCGTGTCTTCTTGCAGTCCCGCCTGGTTCCACCCTGGACGCATTTGTCCCTCGCACGAACTAGTAGGAGTTGCAGCCCAGTCAGGGCGGCCCACAGTAGCCTCAACCAGGCCCACCTCCTACCCTGGCTTGCCAGTATATATGGCATACTAGCCCAGTCTGTCCCCAGTACCCTTCTGTTGCTACAACTAAGCCCAACAACCCTCACCAACTCTGGTTGTAGCTTACTCTAGTGGGATTGGTCAGCCTAGCCTGGTTTTCACCCAATCTGGTCCCCATGAGGTGCACAGGCGCTGTGTCCCTGCCTGGTCTAGTCTACCCCCCACCCAGCTCCCGCTCCTCAGTGTAATTTGCTGTTCAGCTAGGGAGCCTCCCCTTTTTCTCCTGTCAGCTCTGCCGCCTCCTTTCCTGGTTCTCACTTGTGTTGATTGGGTGCTGCGGCTGCATCTGACTCAGGCTACCTCACCTTGGCATTCCAGCCTGCGTGTTGCTTTTGTTACGACCGGACCTGGTTCGACCCACACTCTGTTCTGGCGGTCAGATTCACCAGTGGATGACATGAACAGATTCAGCCTGGTCTGCCCCCGACCCAAGCCAAATGCATGCCAGTGGGACACTTTCTATGACCTCTTGGCTGTTGCCTTGCATGTTCCTTGTGCTGACATGCAGGGTCTGTGTCCTGCCAGAGGAGTTGCCTGAGCTCCTCCATCAGAACCCCTCCATGTGCCAGGTTTCGCGCATGTCAGTGGGTCCATGTGCCAGTTCGCCTCTTATCCTTGTAGGAACAGTGGTCTTTCCTAACTGGCCATCATCCCGTTCTGGTTCTTGCTGTAGAGTGTTTCAGCGCGGCCACGGTCATCCATGCCCCCATATAGCTTGTACATGGCTAAGTTGAGGTTGGGACCTAGCCTAGTCCGCCCCACTGGATGTGCCATTTTTTTTTACTCTCTCTTTTTTTTATTATATATATGTTTTAAATTACATTGTATTGTGTGACACAGTTCTACAGGCACTGAGATTCTCCCCACCCCTCTCCCAACCCTCCCCCCATGGTGGGCTCCTCCCTCCCATTGCATAACCACAGTTCAAGTTTAGTTGAGATTCCTTCATTGTAAGCATACACCAAGCATAGAGTCCAGCATCTCATTGTCTGGTCAAGTTCAGCGGCTTCTTGGGGAGACCTTCTCTAGTCTGAAGGTAGAGCCAACAGAGTAAAATCCCGGTCAATTAAAAGCCCTAACATAACATCAGCAACTTATATAACGTTAAGGGATAAATTGACAAACTATTGAGTAACCAATATGTTAAAATTGGATGCAAGTTCTTAACAACCTCCTGTGACTATTTCAATGATATTTCAACAATTGAGGTGCAAAACAGTTTTAGGAGGGGTGTGCAGAGAAATCTTCCATGCCTTGGTGAGGAGTACTTAATCCCTGTGTCCTACCTAGTAAGGTGTGTGTGAGTCCATGCTAACCAAGCCTTCCTTGTTGTTCTCTGTCTATCCATTCCAATTTGTGAGTGTGTGTGTGTGTGTGTGTGTGTGTGTGTGTGTGTGTGTGTGTGTGTGTGTTGGGGGGGCCTGTGGAGCATCCCTCATGGTCATTGCAGAGAGGGTGGGGAACCGAAGTTGGAGCTAAGTAAGAACCAGAGATAGCTTCTCTCCCTAGTCCTGAAGGGAGTTTACTGTTTTTCTGTTTCTGAAGACTGCTTAGGTTTCCTGGCTGTTGTCCCGATGGGATGTGCTATTTTGAAACTTTCGTGCTTGTAAGAATCTTGCCGGGGTGGGAAGGTGAGAGATGAGCTTGGCCTGGTGTGTTAAAGTCTGCAGATAGCAGGACCATGGACAGCAGTCAGGGATGGCACAGAACCAAAACAGGTGTTCATTCCTGAGTCTGGTGTGGCCAGTAGAAGGGCATGGGTTCTGGAGATCTGAGTGTGCCCAAGGGTGCACCCAACCTTGTCATTTACACCCACAAGGGACACACAGAGAGAGAAGGCCAGCGTCGTGGGCATGTCCCCCTGTGGGGTCGCACAAGAGAGGCCACATACTTGACCTGGTGCTCTGAAGCCGACATTTTGAGATGCTCAGCTTCGGTACACAGAGTCCTGCAAAGAGATGGTGTTGGACAGAGGGACGGCTCATGCCAGCACCAGGAAATCGGCTACCTGCAGAGGACTAGCCCGGAGGCTCTAGAAGCACAGGATTCTCCTTGCTGTTGGCCTCGGTCATGATGTGGTTGAATAAGCCCACCAAGGGAGAGGAATGCAGCAACTTGATCTTCTTGGGGAACACAAGTGAACATGTCAGTCAGGACGTTCAGCACGCTCTCAGCACTCATTTTAGCTGACCCCACAGTACCATGTGCCTCCAGATTCCTCCCTCTCTAACCACCTCTGAGAAAAGAACCCAGAAAAAGCCAGAGAAGAAAGCCAAGAAGTGGAAGAAGGACCCAGGGAGTGACCCTCTGAGAGGACTCCTGCGATGAGCCTGGCTGCCACAGGGGACCACTGGGACTTACCTGCAGCTCGCTGGTTATCTCTTTGAGGAATTAGCTAATCCTGGAAGGGGAAGCCTCCCCTTGAATTTGCAAGGCCCTGAGATGCCTGAACATTACAAAATACAAGTATTTTAGAAATATAATGGAGGACAAGAGAGGTGGGGTGCCATCTCACACTCCTTCATCCTACACTTGTGGACACTCATGTCCTCCTGTGATTGTCAAGTCCCACCCAAAGCAGCCAGTCTGGGTCAGTGGGCAGGGAGACACAGCCCTTCCGTGTCACCACAGAGACTGGAGAGGATGGACAGAGTTAGGCCCCACAACCAGAGCTGTTCTCATGATAGGAAGTGACATATCACAGGGGCGAGGAGGAAGTATGGAGGAGGAAATGATTCAGTGGGCTCTGCTGTGTGTGTGAGTGGGATAGTGAGACCAGCGGCTGCATCCCCAGTCCCCAGGTTGTGCCATCACTGGGAGTGACAGGATCCCAGGACCCCAAGACCAGCTGCCTGCACAGCTCAGCTGTGCCTGCACCCAGCCCAGACCAGCTCAGACCCCAGCAGTGGAAAAGCAAAAGCGGGGAGGTGCATGTTGTACCCTCTCTGACAAGGCTCTGCTTTGTCCCTGGCTGGACCTGGAGTGGCTGCTGGTGACCACTGTGCTGCAGAAATGAGGTCCAGATCTGTGTGGCTTCTGTCAGCTCTGTTCCTCCTACATGTCCAAGGTGAGTGAGATGGGCCTGGACCAGGACGCTGTGCCCTAAGTGGGAGGGCCGTGGGCTGGGCGGCATGCGGGTGTGAAACTGTTGGCTACCAGAGGGTATTGGGCTGTGGAGAGACGGCAGGAGGGTGGAGAGGTATCCACGAGCTTCCGCGCCTGTCTCAGAGGTGACCAGTGGGCTCTGTGCACAAAGCAGGGGAACCAGGTTCCTAAACACAGTGTAGAGTCAAGGCTCAGGGTGGTATGCCAAGGAAGGTTTTTGCTCTAAATATGCAACCTGGAATGTTGTCTTGACCCTAACACACACACACACACACACACACACACACACACACACACGAGTGTTCACAGATGCCCTGCCCTCCCTGGGAGAATGGGCACTTTCACATCCCCATCTTGGGGAGAGGTGCCTCATGCCCCACACCCAGTCCACACTCCAGGGTGATGCAAACCAGTCCCCTGTGGGTCCCTCTCAGGCCACACCTCCAGGACCTGCCTTCAGGACACCCCACCCACACACACCTGGGTCCTGTGTGTGTGTCTTCCAGGCTGTTTCTCCCTGAGCTGCCCCAGAGTCGTGGCAGGCACAGTCGGAGGCTCCTTGAGTGTTCAGTGTCACTATGAGGAGAAATATAAAAACAACAGAAAATTCTTGTGCCATCAATCGTGTGGGCCCAACCAGGATATCGTGAAGACAATAGCACCAGAGAGAGAAATGCGGAATGGCCGTGTGTCCATCAGGGACGATCCTGCAAGCCTCAGCTTCACAGTGACCCTGGAGGAGCTCCGCCTGCAGGACGCGGGCACATACCAGTGTGGGATCGATATAACACTGAGCTGGGATGCCACCTTCTTGGTTGAGGTGCGTGTGTCCCCAGGTGAGTCCCTTTTCCCCAGCACCAAAGCTGCCTGAGACAGAGTCAATCCATTGCCTCTCTGAATAGAGGAGTGTCATGGGAAGGGGGCATGCCATGTGTTGGGGGAGATGGCACCACACCGGCTCCAAGTGGTGCCACTCTTCTCTGGGTCCCACCTCACTGCTCAGACCTAGCTCTCCTTGGGTTTGGAGTGGGCATGTCCCAGAGACCACAGGTATCTGCTGCCCTCCTACCCTGAACAAGTTCCATCTCCTGTGCAACTGTGTGCAGCCTCCCAAGGGGGAATAGGGTCTAAGGACACCTGCTCCCTCCCTCCCAGGCTGCCCTGGCTAACAGGGGTCAGAGCAGGGCAGGATGGGTGGGTATGGGCTCTGATACAGTACCACCTGTCAGGGCAGCACCCTCACAGTTGTGGTTCAGGTGTCTTCAGCAGCCACCAGGGGGAGCCAAGGGAGGAGCCAGGTCTCACTCCTGCAGGCACCCTTGGGAACCTCAACCCGCACCCCTCAGGTGATCCTGTCTCCCTCTCTTCTTGCACCTTGTACTGCAGCACGAACACAGAGAACTTCTGAATGTGGCAGAAACACAAGACAGCTATGAACAGGGCTTCCCCTGACTTCCTCCATCTTGGCTATGGTTACCACCATCCCACTTACCATGGAGGGCTTCCTCTCAAGCCTGGGGAACGTCAACTTTAAAAGCAGGGAAGTAGCCAGTTCCCCACAGTCCACTCTCTCTAGATCTTTCTTCCTAATCCCCCACAGATGATGGCCTAGGGATGCTGCTTGTGGCCAAGCCCTGGCTCCCAGCATCGGGACTGAGCAGGCTGGGTGGACAACACCTCCCAGCATTCAGCCTCCTGCTGACCATGCCTGCTCTTGCTTCGAAGCCTCCAGCAGTCCTCAGCCCCATCTAGTGCCTGGGCCCCTAGTCCCAGGTCACAGTGGACATCTAGGAGTGTTTCTCTAAGGAGGGTGGGGAGCAGGCAGAGGAGTGGGTGTGTCTTGGGGGAGAGGGGCAGGCATGTGTGTGTTGCCACAGGTGCTCACAGCGCCCCCTCTGCTGAGCTGATGGAGATGGAATTGAGGCAGGTACCAACCTGGGATCAGGCGTGGGAGTGCCATGGGGCATGCTGGATTTGGCACATCTGTCCTTTCCACCGGGTGACCTGGTATGGGGACGGAGGGGTGCACGGGTGAGGGGAGAGTCCCCACACTGACTTGTGCTTCAGCCACAGATCCGACACAATCCTCCAACCCCCTGAAAACCACAGACACCCTGGTCCCCGTGACGACCCTGCTCCCGGAGCTGACCCTGCCTGTGTACACCCGGCCCAGCCCACCACCTCGGTAAGGGGGACCACATCTGGGTCAGAGCCTCCTGAGGCTTCTCCTCTGGGTGGAAGGGGCAGCAGGTGGATTTGTGTCTCCCTCCTCCTGGCTCTTCCTGTATTCACGTTCCCACACTCTGCTGAGCAGGTCCTACTTGGGGCAGTGGCCTTTTCTCAACCCTGACGCTTAGCAGTGACCGGAGATAACAGTTCTGGAGTCACCTGCTGAATTCCCTGTGTCATAGAAAGGCCCGTTTCTGCTGAACGCTGTGAAAGATGACTTCACTGAGTTGGAGGGGGAAGTGTGGGCAGGAGGTTGTGCCATCATGCCATTGTACCAGGTGTTCAGAGGTGGCCTTGTTGAGTGCAGTCCTGCAGGGTAGGGGTTCGGGCAAACAGGGATTGGAGTCCAGGTTACCCTTGTGCCAAGCTAATACAAATATCCTTGTGCAGGAGCCTTGAGGGCCAACCAGGCTGTGCTGCTGCAGCTGGTCTGGGGAACCAGGAACCTGGGTGTTGTTCCCTATGGCTCCTCAGCCCCGTTCCTGGTCACAGCAGTCAGCCTGCCTTGACAAGTCTGGCCCTCTGAGGCACAGGAGCCCTGAGCAGGCAGTTCTACCAGACCTCTGTGGCGCATGCCCAGAACTTGCACTTGCTCCTCACCCTGAGCCCCCTCCATCACAGAAACCACTAACTTCCTCGTCGAGGGAGGGCGGGGTGGAACCACAGGAAACATTTACACCCAGCCTGGATCCTGCATCCCTGGAGAGGCAAGCCCTAAATGTGGTGGAGCCAGGGAGGATCTTCTGGCCACAGCACTGTCCTGGATCCAAGGGTGTTTTCTCACTGCCCTGTCTGGGAATGCCTTTCCTCAGCGTCCCAAGCTCAAGTTCAAGGGTGACCCTTTGGCTCATAGTCACAGGCCCCTGGTCCTTTTGCCGGGTTTGGTCCTCCTTGCATTGTAGTGGACACTGGACCTGGGCTGAATGGATGGGGATGAAGCCCAGAGCTGCACTGCCTCCCTCTGGGAAGGAGACTTACTCTCTGTCATCGCATCCCTGGCAGGTCCCAGCTCAGCAGCGTCCACTCCTTGAAGCTCCTCCTGCTCCCGGTCTTCCTGAAGCTGCCCCTGCTCCTGGGCACGCTCGGGGCTGTCCTCTGGATGAAAAAGAGGTTGCAGAGGGCACACTGAGAGAGGCCAGCTCAACCCTACAGGAGTGTCCTGGGAATGAGATGATCGGAGTGATGTCAGCTCTTTTTTTTTTTTTAAGTATGGATTTGTTTTTTATTGTAAAGTCAGTTATAAAAAGAGTAGAGACAGAGAAGAGCTTCCTTCCACTGGTTCACTCCCCAAGAAGCCACAATGGCCAGAGCTGAACAAATCTGTAGTCAGGAGCCTGGAGCCTATTCCGAATCTCCCATATGGGTGCAGGGTCCCAAGGCTTTGGGCCGTCCTCGACTGTTTTCTCAGGCCACGAGCAGAGAGCTGGCTGGGAACCTGTATTGCCAGCACATGAACTGGCACCCATATGGGATCCCAGCACTTACCTGGCAAGGACTTTGGCCACGAGGCTACAATACTGGGCCCATGATGTCAGCTCTTTGTCATCCATCAGCAGATCACAGGCACAGAAGAATGTAACTAGCCCATGTGCACACATGAAGCCACACGTGACATCTGGACACCACCTTGCATGGTGAACCAGAGTGGCACGTGGGGTGATGGAGCCCCAAGCTCTTCCCACTCAGAGCCGTGTCCCCTGCACAGTTCAGTAGGAATTCTGTTTGCAGGCAGTTGTGTGGCGTGTTTCACTGCATTAGGAGGAAACACACACGGATTTCCAAAGGGTGTCTCATGTGGCTTTGTTTCTGGACTTTATAGAAGACAGAAGGAAGCAGGGTTTCATTTTGTGATTGACATGATTTTATCATTCAGTGTTACATTTTGGCAGCTCCTGATTGAGCCATTTCCTTGCAAGTTCTGTGTTCTGTTGCAATAACATGTTTATCCCTTCTGCTGAAGATATGGGTCACTTTCCTATTTCTTTGTTCTGCTTTCTCTTCTTTCCCTTTTTGCTGTTTTTGTTGCTTCTCAGTTTGCAATTGTTACCTACAATATTTTTAAGAACCTGGTCAAACATGTGTCCCAATGTGACCTAAGGGCTCTCTGGTCCGAGTGGGTCTCCCAGACCCCAGGAGAAATTGCTGGGCTTTGCTGTCACTGCTCAAGCAGTTCCCTAACCATCCACGTGTCCCAAAGTTGCCATGGCAACACCCCACACACATATGCAGTCCCAGGGCCCTGAGCCTCACCAATAGGACATCCTGGTCATCACGTGCATGACACAGGACCCCCAGGAGGTCAAGCTCCTTCTACGTGTTTAGGCTCCTTGGATTTCATCTTTTGAGACGTGTCTGTTGGAGTCATTCACCTGTTCCTTTTGTTTCTGTTTTTCCGATTTGTTTGTAGAAACTCTTTGTAAGTCCTTCCAGATAGAGTTTCCTAGCTGCCTAGGACATCTTTGGGAAATAGTTTTTAGCCATACTGGAATATATTATTCAATAGGGTTTATATCTTTTACATCTGCTTAATAAATTATTGTTATCCACATCCAAGCGTACCTTTAAAAATTCTGCGTTATCTTTTAAAAGCTTTAAATTTCCCTTTCACAATTCAGTCCTAGACCCACTTCTGACTGTTTTCTAGGCTGAGGGAGGAATCCGTTTTCTCTCTTCCACCTGATTTAACATTATCTGCACAGCCGACGGTCCGACAGTGCCACTACTGGCATCTCTAAATCCTGAGTGTGTGTGGCTCCTTCCTGATTTCACTATTCCCATTAAATTTCCAGGTGCTTTTCATTGAAGCAATACAACATTATTGTATTTCTCAAAAAATATTTGTATATTTTTATTTCAAAGGAAGAATTACATAGAGAAGTAGTGACACAGAGAGAGTTCTCTTCTGCTGGTTCATTCCCCAAATGGCTGCAATGGCTGGAGCTGGGCTGGTCCAAAGACAGGAGCCGGCAGCAAGGAGCCAGGAGGCTCTTCTGGGTGTCCCCCATGGGTGCAGGGACCCAAGGACTTGAGCCCTCCTCTGCTTCTTTTCCAGGTGCATAAGCAGGGAGCTGGATCAGAACTGGAGCAGCCAGGACATGAATTAGTGTCCATAAAGGATGCTGGCATCGCAGGTGGAGGATTAGCTGGCTATGTCATGGGGTGGTCCTTCCAGCTGTGTTTGCCACACACACTGTTCTTCACTGGCAGGCCTGTCTTTGCAGATGTCAGCCATTTCCTGATCTATATAGATTTGGGGATTATCCAGGGAAGATTGTAAAATGGATTTGAAAAATAACTGTTGAAGCTTGGTATGGAAGTATATCAAATCCCATTTCCGGACCATTTTCTTATCCATGAACATGATAAGTAATCCCAATTACGCTTTAAGTTTCTAAAAACATCTATTTTTAATTTTTTACTGGAAAGTCAGATTTACAAAGAGAAGGAGGTGGAAAGAGAAAGATCCACTGTTTGCTGGTTCCCTCGCCAAGTAGCTACAAAAGCTGGGGCTGAGCTGATCTGAAGCTGGGAGCAGGAACTTCCTCTAGATTTGACATGTGATTGCAGGGTGCCAAGGCTATGGGTCGTTCTATACTAATTTCCCAGGCCACAAGCAGGAATCAAGATAGAAAGTAAAGCCAGGACAAGAACCAGCACCCATATGGATCCCGAGGTGTGCAAGGCAAGGATTAAACCACTGAGCTGCTCACAAGGCCCTAAAATATCTTATAATGACATATTATTTTCTTATTGAAATTTGCTCATATATATGGTAAATTTCATTCTGTATATCATAGGCTTTATTTCTACTTTAAATGGCAGCTTTTAATTGCATTGGAAGTTGCTCCTTGCCTGTCTATGGATAAATAATTGAACTTGGGCTGATTTGGCTTCATAGGATGCTAAGGCTGTACCTGTGGTTCCAGCATCTCATACAAGTCCCTGTGCGCCACGTCCCTTAGCTCCCTGCCTGGCAAAGCAGCAGAGGCTGACCCAAGTCCTTAAGCCCCTGCACCCACATGGGAGAGTCAGAACCAGCTCCTGGCTTCAGACTATCCCAACTCGAGTGGTTGGGGCCACTTGGAGAGTGAAGCAATAGGTGGAAGATGTGTATTTCTCTCTCTCCTTGTCTCTATAACTCTGCCTTCCTAATGAAAAACAAAACAAACAAACAAAAAAACAACAACAACAACAACAAAAAAAATGGTCTTTGCATGCTGATTTTACATGCCCGTCAAGTATTGGTGTGGAATAGATACTTTTGCTTCCCAAGCGTCCTTGCTCTGTGGTGCTGTGCAAGCTAGGCCAAGTGCTGGGTCACTGTGGTCATTTCCAGCCTGCTTGCCCTCCTGCTGGTCTTGAAGGGAAGACCGTAAATGACTGGTCTTTGGTCATGATGGGCTGCTTGGAAACATCCTGCTCAGGTTAGCAGCCTCCCATGAGGAGCCGTGGATTTTAACGGTGCTTTGCTGCACCTGTTGACACGGCTGTTTGGCTTGCTTCCTTTAGTCCGCAGGTGTGAAGAATGACCCTCGTTTTGATACTGAGCCAAACCTGTTCCACCCTCCCAGAGGAAGGAAAAAGGAGAGACAGTGGCCTGGCTCACACCATCCGGGCAGAGCCCATACTCCAGATCCATTGCTATTCCCACACTCATCACCCCATGCTTTCTGGGTGCTGGTATGCCTTCCCAGGACAGGCCTGATTGCCCCCTCCAACCCTCTGCACCCCTGTGTATGTCCCAAGCCACAGCAAGCCCAGGGCCTCCCAGGACAGAGCCGTCCCCCTGAGGCTGGCCCTGGACACTGGGAGAAAGTCCCTCACTTGCTTCCCCCAGCTGATGCTCAAGGGTTTAGCTGTTGGGTTCTATGCGAAGGTGCCAGCTCAGGGATGGCGGTTGATGGTTAGGGCTGCCCTCCTCCTTGTGACAGAAGCCAGCAGGCTCATCTTAGGGCCCTGCCCTGAGCCCACCTGATGCTACCTTCATCGGGGTTTACACAGGGTGCTGATAATGCACAGCACTCATTCGACATTAGGACTCTGTCCTCGGGGCTTTACCTGCTTTTCTCACTTAAATCTCATAACAGTTGTTACAAGCAGATGGAAACAGTGAGATTCCGAAGTTAGGTTAAGGTGTCTCGCTCACTTAGCTTATAAGGAGCACTTGTGTGGCCTAGAGGCCATGTGCGGTGAATCTGATGCCTTCATGACCATGTGGACACATGATCCCTTGTACTTTCTGAACCTCTCCATGGCACTTGAGCAAATGCATGCCTGGCATGCCAAGCACCTGACAGCCAAGTGGAGGACTCCTTGCTTCTGAGAGCCAGCCACCGATGGAGTTGGAGTCCTCGGGTTTGTACCTCTTATTACCCAAGACCCAGCACCCAGATGCCCCATAGCCTGTCTGCAGACACACCTCCTCCCCCTTGCATAGTCCCCTCTGCAGAGGACGCTCCTGACAAGCAACCCAGCTTACAAAGACATGATGCCCCTCTTGCTGCATAATTAGAAGAGGAAACACTCATTCTCTAGGAGGAAGTGAGTGAGAAGCTCCAGGGCAGGTCAGCCTGCAGAAGGTGTAAGCCTGGGTGCAGGTCCCGCTCTCAGGGTCAGCTGGGATCTGTGCTTTCCTCTGCTGGTACGTCAAGGGGCCAGGAGAGAGGAGCAAGGACCATGCAGCTGCTGCCAGCTCTGCTCCTTTTTGGCCTCCCGGGTAAGTACCACGGGGACGTGGTAGCGGTGTGTATTTAGGGGAAAGATGCTATGGAGGAAGGTTTACTGCGAGCTCCAGAGGCTGGTCAGGAGGTAGAGGTGTCTGTCTTAGCCAGGTCTAGGCAAAGGACCGAAGACTTTGAAGACTGATTCAGCAAAGGCCCTCTGGGGTCCTGCACTGCCCCACACTTGCATGCACCAGATCCTGGGACTTGAGAGACCTGAGCTGTCGGGCTGCCATTGCCATAATCACCTGGCTGCTCTGTGGTGAAGGGTACACACATGGGTGACAGCAAGGGCAGGAGCTCAGGCAGGGTGCTATGATCCCATAGGCCAATGCAGCTGTGGCTGAGGAAAGCCAAGGCAAGCCTCCTGCAGGTGTCCACCGAGGGGCCTTGTGGAAAGGGGACAGCACCCCCAACAGAGCAGAGAGAACGTTCCAGGGAGAGGGCGCTGCCTTGTGAAGTTCCTTAGGGTGTCCCCACTCTGGAAATGCAGCAGGCAAGATTGCAAAGGCTTCAGAGCTGGCCTTTGCTTTCAAAGGGGACACTGAGGGCCTGGAAGATCTCCAGCAGAAATCTCTGTGGACTGAGGCAGCATGCAACACTCTAGAAGTTTGCACAGTGTGTGCGGTGGTTTGTGGTCTCTCTGGGGGGGCACTTGGCCGAATGACACAGCAGACAGGTCCACAGAGACAGGAATAGGGGAATTTGAGGCCCGAGTTCCAATCCTCTCTGGATCACCTGGTCCCAGCCACGCCCTTGTTGTCCTAGCACCTGAGTTTCCATGTCATGTCTGGATTCCTGGGTCTGATGTCATAGTTTCTGATCCTGGGTCAGGATTCCCATGAGCTCTGAGGCTGTGGGCAGTCCATGAAGAGCCCAGGGAGGGGACAGGAGGAGATGGCCAGTGTAATGAAGCTGCCTTCCATGCTGTCTGTGTGAACCAGGAGCCCCTGGCCTTGGGGAACTGGATGCTGGCATTGACATAGGGAGCCCCTGGGTTGCTGAGTTCACATACAACCTGAGGCCAACGTCAAATGCCCCAGGTAACCTTCTTTTAGCCCAATAGTAACATATGTTGGGCATCTTTCCTCTCTATCTGCAGATTTGTCTTTTTCTTTAGAATGATGTCATGGCTGGATCACAATTTGTTAGCCTAATTCCGTGTCCATGGCATTTGAGTTTGTTCTCCACGTTTACTGTTCCGTCAGCATCGTAACTAGCATCCTTACACACTTTGTTGTCTGGGGGTGTGGAGATTACAGCCAATCCTAGAAGTGAAATGATCAAGTCCAAGACCATGACTAAGCAAGACACACAGGCCGGGGCTGGGGCTGGAGCAGGAGGGGCCTGACTAGGGGGTCTTCTTAACAATGAGCATCCTAGCCAGGGCAATGGAAGAGGCAGGTGATAGCCATGAAGTCCCAGTGTGGCATCTGGGCTCAGGGCCAGGGCAGCAACTGGGGAAGCAGGGCTGGCTGGGAAATTGGAGGAAGACTTTATAAAAGAAACCGAGAGCCTTAAATGTCTTGAGTGGGTGGCCAGCACTAGGACAGGCGTTGGAAGTGGGTCACTAGGGCAAGGATGTGAACAAGCCTGGGAGGGCTCTGTCAGGTCACAGGGAACATGTGGGTGCTTTCCTGGGAAAAACCGCTGGTTCCCTGTTGCTTGGAAGTGGATGTAGGGGGAACAGAAAGCCCCAAGAGAAGCTTCCGTTGACCTTCTCTTGACCTCAGCCTTGCACCCAGGTTGAAGGGCTCTGTGGACTGGAGGGGGTCTACAGGGCCTTGTGGAGGCCCAGGCAGGGTCTGTTTCCTGGTGTCTTCTGCTTGCCCGGACTTTGGGACCCTTCCTCCAACTAGGAAGCCAGCCATGTAGCACATCTTCAAATCCAAATCAGATCTGGAGTGGGGAGCAAGGAGGTTCAGGGCTGACAAGAAGGGGGTATAGTTGAGTGAAGCAATAGGCATCAAATGAGAACGTTTGGAGTTGCTGGGGCTGCCAGGATGGAGGTGTTCAGGTTCAGAAGTGTCCCTGGGTGGCAGTGATCAGGAGATAGAGAGAGGAGAATTGAGGAGGGGGTGCCGCGGAGTGAGCACTCCATGTGCCCCTGTCACTACCCAGGCAGTGGCCGAGGTCCCTACCCTTTTGACTGCTGTGACACTCAGACAGCAGCCATAAAGAGAGCATGGCCATCTCTGAGTAAGTGATGCCCACAGAGGCTGTGAGGCTGGCCAGGCTTCCCAGCCAGTGCACAGGCAAGTGTCTCTTTGGGCCCTAAGCTCTCTGTTGGGCCATGCCGTTCTCATGGGTGGCAAAAACAGGGTATTCTGAGGAGCATTTCCAAGGGCAAATTGACTGCATGGGTGACTGCGGAGGGGCAGAGGGTGAAGGAGAGGACGGGTTGGGGTGGAAGGGGGTGCTGGGGAACACAGTGTTTCCTCATGCGACTCCCTGTGGAGTCTTCTGTTGGAGGAACTAATGTTGTTTCCGCTGGTCTGCTGCTGTGCCATCTCCTTCTGGTGGGTGCTGTGTCAGAGAACAACACCAGGCCATCGTCCTGGCGTTTGGAAGAACAGGAGTCTGATGTCTTTCCTGCTAGAGTTGAGGGGCGGGCAGGGCTGTGTTCTCTTTGGAGATGCGAGCCGAGAACCTGCAGTCGCCTGCTCTCCTCCACTGTGTCTACGACTCCAGGAGACTCTGCCAGCTGTGCAGCATCTTCCAATGGAATTCCCTTTTGGTCCTGATCTTGGGCTCCTTCACATCATGCCTCCTGCCAAGAGCCTTTGGCCCTGTAGGGGGACATGTCTCAGATGTCATCAACAGAGTCAGACCTTATTCTGCCAGACATATGCAAACGCAAGTCAGGTAAAATAGAGTCAGGGACAGAGACCAAGGTTCAGCAGTCCAACACCTGGCTGGTGCTACAAAGTAGTACCCCCTCCAGCCCACAGAGCCCCATGACCTGGGCCCACGGTTGAGGCCATGAGAAGGTCAACTGAGGCATCCCCTGGTGATTTCTGTTCTCCATAGATCCACTTCCAGGTCAAGAGGGAACCAGCGGTCTTTCCCAGGAGGTGCATACATGGATAGCCCCAGCTTGCCTGGAGTCCGTGAGACCATGTGTGTCTCCAGCTGCCTAACTCCCACCCAGCTCTGCCCAACCAAGTCCCCACAGAGACAGCAAACATTGACGCAAGGCCAGGCTGGGAGAACTGGGCACTGGAGTTCAAGGCCCTTGAATTGGGAGTAGGGACAAAGATGCACTTGGTAGCAACTGAAGCCACGGGAGTGGAGAAAATGGGCCAGGGTGAAGGCTGGAGTGGGAGCCTCATGGGGCCCCCGGAGTGTGCAGCTCAGAAGAGCTGGCTTTGAGACCTCTTCCTAGCTCTGTCCAGTGACAACCTGACGTCCACCACGGTGGGAGGACTCGTGCTATAGAAAGTGGCACCTGTTACAGCCAACGTGCTGCTAACTATTTACCCACACAGCACTGCTTACACCAGACTTAGCGAGAAGGCAGGGGGTGGCACTGTGGTATAGTAGGCTAAGCTTCTACCTACAGCTCCAGCATCCCATATGGGTGCAGACTCGAGTCCTGGATGCTTTGCTTCCCATCCAGCTCTCTGCTAATGGTCTGGGAATGCAGCGTTGGATGGCTCAAGTCCTTGAGCCCCTGTATCCATGTGGGACACCTGGAAGAAACTCCTAGAGGCTGGCTTCGTGTCAGCTCATCTCCAACCACTGCAGCCATTAGGGGGTGAATCAGCAAATTGAAGATTCTCTCCCCAACCCCACCCTTCACTATGACTCCACTTTTCAAACAAAATAAAATGAATCTTGTTTTAAAAGGAGAGCAGTCAAAGGAAGACAAGTTGAGACCCTGCCGGAGTCCTGCTCCAGTTGAGTTTGGAACTCGCGAAGGGTGCGTGGATGAGGCGCAAAGAACGAGACGGACCACTAGGATTTCATGATCATAATGGACAATGCGGGAAAGCTGTCCGCTTTATTTATACAAAATCAGTCAAACTCTGCCTCAGACTTTTTACATCACCGTCAAGTTGGGAATTTCTAAGAATAATTCTGCCATAGTATTACCTAGAAACAATACCTAGAAGTTCCTGCTGCCAGTACCTAGAAGTTCCTGCTACAATTCTTATCCTACAACTCAATCTTGTATCACAAAGAAAAGGGGAATCTAAAGAATGAGGAAAGAATGAAAGCTTAAATCTAGATCCCTTGGTTAGCATAGGCTCAATGGGGACAGCCAAGACAGTAGGAATAATAGAGGGCCCTTTTGCAGGACATTGACCTCCAAGCTCACGCTGAGCAGTAGCAAATGCCAGGATGGATTAGAATTCTTCCACAGGGTGGTCCGGTGTCCATGCAAAAAAAGGTGGAGCTGCATTCAGGTGGTTGTAGTGACATCCGCCAGGCGGGCCCTGCCATACAGTGGGAAATTCCTTGCGGCCCTGCCTGCAATGGAACAACACTCTTCACCTCCTTCATGTCCCCCACATCGACTGCACGGACCCCAACAAGACCCTGGGGTTAGGATAGTCCAAGAAGAGGATGAGATGAGAATGGCATTTGGAGAACAAGGAAGAGGGTGACACAAAATCAGTAGTGCCACATGTTCGTAGAAGGCCAGGGGCATGAGGGCCAGGCCAGCATGGAGGAGGCAGGGTGGGACGGCAGGGGGTTGGGTTTCACGGTACCTGGCTCGCAGCCATTTCCAGGGATTGTGTTTTCCAGGGTACTGCTTCATTCGGGGTCCCAGGACGGTGACAGGTGGAAAGCAGGAATCGACAATCGTGCGGTGTCACTACAGCCCCGGGTTGGAGACTTACAACAAGTGGTGGTGCCGAGGAAGGATCTGGACCTTTTGCCGTGTGCTTGTCCAAACCAGTGGGACAGAGCAAGAAGTGACACGTGACCGTGTGTCCATCAGGGACAACCAAAAAGACCGTGTGTTCACAGTGACCATGAAGGGACTCAGGCGAGACGACGCGGGCGCTTACTGGTGTGGGATTGAGAAACTTGGAGTCGACCACGGAGCACAAGTGAAAGTGAACGTTGACCCAGGTGAGAATTCTGTCCTCAGTTGCAGGGCCAGGGCCCCCATGGGCTGAAGGGCAATGGCCGAGAGCACAGCAGACAGATGGAAGGATGGACGGATGCGCAGGGAGGGACGTGAGGAACTGAGGAGAGAAGCAGCAGCCATCGCCACTGCCACCCTGGGGTCTCTCTGATATGTCCGAGCCGACCAGGGCTGGGCTGGCAGGGTGGGAGCAGGTCAGTGCTAGTCATCCATGGCCCAACCCTGCTCTCCTGGAGCTGGGCAGCCCTGCAGCCTCACCGCTCTCAGCAGAGCCCCCAGGTGGGCCCCAGACACCCGCAGAGGGTGCCCAGACAGGATGCTGGGAAGTGGCTGATCCTCGGGTTTCATGCTGGGGACCTGCCCTGGGCCCTGACTTGCATGGCCGTGGGCACCTGCGGCAACCCCAAAGGTCCCCGGCACTGAGTCCTAGCGCAGAGGGCTCTCTTGGTGAGTGTGGACATGGCAGGGTTGGTGGTGCAAGCCGGGCATGAACCCTCAGCCTGTGCCCATGATCTGTGGCCGACTTAACCCCTGCAGCAGGAAGCAGCAACACAGCGACATCCAGCAACTCCCCTGCCAGGCCCAGCAACACGGGAATGTCCTTAGGCTCCCAACGCTGGTGAGTCCCAAGGGTCCTTCCTCCTCCTGTCTCTTATGGGATCCCTGCTGCGGGGAAGCCAGGCTTGAGCACCCTTCCTGCCTGCAGCCACACACTAAATGTCAGTGCTTGTTACCCCCAAAGCCAAGGCCCCTGGATCACCTTCAGCCTTCCTGCTGCCCCTGGTACTCTTTGCCCACCATTCCCCACGTTACAGCCCATCCCCAGGGGCCTTCTCCAACCCTTCCTGCACTCATTTCATTGGCCAATGAGTATGGGTGACTATGTGGGTGCAGGAGATGAGGGCCATAGAGCAGGAACGGTGGTCGCCAGCATGGAGCTGGCATTCCTGGGAGCAGCAGCTTCTTGGGTGGGCTCCAGGTGCTTCTTGAGTTGGAGGCTGCTTGGGGCTAAGGGAGCCCCAGAGAGCACCCAGGACAAGGCCAGCAGTGGGCACTACTCAAGGAACCCTTGTGATTGAATCCAGGCATGGCTTCATGAAGCTCTGCAGAGAGGAGTTGCAGGGCCCAGGGTCTTGAACTTTGCTGAACTGGTTGGTGGTGTGGTAATGTCAGGGGGTGGGAAGTGGCAGGGCCCGGAGGGGGGGCTCTCAGGGCTCTGACAACCGTGTTCCCTCTTACAGGACCCACTACGTGCTCCTGGTGTTTGTGAAGGTGCCCATCCTTCTCATCTTGGTCAGCGTGGTCCTCTGGCTGAGGGGCTCCCGCAGGGTCCCAGAGGAGCAGTGGATTCTGGTTGCCCCTGGGAATGCACCCTTTCCACGGTCTGCCAATGACGTGGGCCCTTAGTGGGATACACAGCAAGGGCCCACCCAGCTTGGGCCTCCATCCCAGCGCAGTCACCCCAAATCCTGGGGGGGGGTGGGATGACCCAGGCCAGTTGTGGAGACCCAGCCCTGGCCTTTCCCACAGTGCAAGCTCCTGCACTGTGCTCCCCCTATCACCACCAAGGGTGGCGCTCAGGGCCAGGAGCTGCTGGGTGGAGCCCAAGTGGCAACCAGCAGGGCAAGGGGGCTGTCAGACATATGGACAGAAGGATGTCAGACAGCTGGACGGCCCAACAGCTGTGTTCCCCCTGCTGGACTGATGCTGCAGAGCCTGGGCCGGAAGCTCTGGGAGGCAGAGAAGGGCACCTGCCCAGTGGGTGCTTCCCGTCACTCCTGAGGCCAGCAGCACCTGCCGGGGCGCCTGCTGTTCAAGTTGGGCTTGATGTCCAGCCAAGTGTGAAGCTCTCCTGCTAGAACTGAGTCCCTGGTGTGGGGACACGAGCCAGGCCCAGGAGGTGTCTGCTCTCCCCAGGGGAGTCCACTGTGAGCTCACAGACCACCAGCCCGCCCAGGCCACCAACAGGCACCTGGATAAGTGATGAAAGATGCCCTAAGTGCTTGGGCCCCTGCATCCGTGAAGGAGGTGCAGAAAAGCTCCTGGCTCCCGGCATTGCACAAGCCCATCTCATCATTGCGGCCATCTGAAGAGTAAACTAACAGAAAGAAGATCTGTCTCTCCTCCTGCAACCCTGCCTTTCAAAAAGGCACAAACAAATAAACAAATGAAATATTTGCAATGAATGCTCTGTTCCCTGTGGAGATTTTGCGGCTGGGCTGTCATGCTGGCGACTTCCCTGGAAGCAGAGGCACCGTTGACTTACCAGCCCAGCCCCCACCCTTGCTACATTTCTGGGGAACAGTCAGTCCCAAGGGGCTCTACTGTACACAGAGGAGCACAGCTCACCCGACACACCCCCTCTCTGGGACAGAAAGATGAAGAAGCCGTATGTGAACCCCTAGAGCCGGCCAGCTGGGTGCTGGTAAAGGGTGGTAGACCAGAAGGACTTGCTATGTACTAACCACAGCGTTGATATTAGGCAAGCCAAAGTGAGTCAGTGTTGAGAAGTGAAAAGAGTAAATGTGATGCTATTTGAAGAGGAGGGCTAGACTTCCTCCCAGAGCAGGGGGACTCCCCTTATGATGGGGAAATGGCCAGGTTCTTCTGAGAGCAGATACAGGGCAGAGAGAAGCTGGTTAGGGGCAGGAGTCAGCAGCAGCCCAGGACAGAGAAAGAGGACAGTGAGACGGGGCCCGTCGCCAGGGCCTGGGACATGAGCTCTTCACATGAACTTATATATTATAATCTATAATTGTAATATAGCCAATATAACACAAACAGCAGATTTCTAGAATGTTCTTGAACTTGCCCTGTCCCTACCCAACAGCCCTGGCTTCTCCCATTTTGCATCATACCTCTCTGAGTTTGATGCCCTCCTGGAAAGCATGGTCACGCGGGGTTTGTCCTGTGACTGGTCTATTTTGCTCAGCAGGAAGCTCATCCATCCTGTAGCAGTTTGCACCACGCTGTGCATCCATCCGTTCATCCACCAGGGGGCGCGTGGCTGGATTCTGGGGGTGACTGACTCAGGTTTGGGGTGGACCAGCACGTTGCCCCCACAGATACCCCCATGTGGGACTGCGGCGCCGTTTGGCGTTTTTGGAGTCAGCCATTTCTCACCCCTCGGAGCAGCCTCTCCGGAGCCTCCATAGCGTGGGCTGTTTTCAGCGTGGCCGGCTGTCCCAGCCTGTGTGACGTGAAGCCTCGTTGGGATTTTAGTTTGCGTCTCCCCGACCATTACGGACATTGAGCAGTCTTTCCTGTATTAATTGTGTGTCTTCTCAAGTCCTTCTCCCATTTTCAGACCCCCTCCTCCCCCCACCCCGCGATCTAACCCTTCCTGGTGAGAGCCATGGGCACCCAGGCTGCGGGGAGAAGCCTAGATATCTGCCCCAACCCCCATTAGGATGGACAACTAGTCAGAAGCCCCAGACTCCTCCTTTTTAAAAAAGATTTATTTATTCTTATTGGAAAGGCAGATATACAAAGAGAAGGAGATACAGAGAGAAATATCTTCCATCTGTTAATTCACTCAAGCAGCTGCAACGGCTAGAGCTGAGCCGATCCGAAGCCAGGGGCCAGGAGCCTCTTCCTGGTCTCCCACACAGGTGCAGGGTCCCAAAGCTTTGAGCTGTCCTCAACTGCTTTCCCAGGCCACAGGCAGAGAGGCAGACAGGGAGTGGATTAGAACCGGTGCCCACATGGGATCCTGGCACATATCAGGCGAGGACTTCAGCCACTAGGAAACTGCGCCAGGCCCACTTAAAAGATTTATTTTACTAACTTGAAAGGCAGAGGTAGAGAAAGAGAGAGAGAGAATGAATCTGTACTTTCCCAAAGGCCTCAAAACAAGGGCTGTGCCAGACCAAAGCCAGGAGCCAGGGTCTTCATCTGGGTCTCCTTCACAGGTAAGCTCAGGACCGAAGCTCTGGGACCATGCCCTGCTGCTTCCCAGGTGCATTTACAGGGAGCTGAAAGGGAAGGGGAGCACCTGGGATTCAAGCCGACTTCCGTATGGAATGCCAGCGGCTTTACCTGCAATGCCACGGTACCAACTCCCGCCTCTCACCCTGGCACTTTTCAAGAGCAAAGTCACAAAGCCCCACTCCAGACTAGGGACTTCCCTTTCCCCGAAGCTGGTCCTGAGGCTGCTTTAGACCAGTGGGCCCAGCCCTGGAGCTCCCAGGTTCCCCCAGAGGAGCAGGGTGTGGTGAGGTCTGGGGACCCCCACAAATGAGCACCCAGGGGAGGGGCACAGGTGGGCAGGGAGGTCCTGGGCTCTGGGGTTTCCCAAAACTCTGGGAGAGCCGTGAGCAGCAGCTGCTGCCCCCTAGTGGCCATGTCCTGCACTCCTCTGCTGGGAGCCAGGTGAACCCTTGGATGAAAGTGCGGGGGCAGCTGGTCCGGAGTCCACGTCGACCTGTCCTGTGCGGTGTAGACCTTACTGACTTGCTGTCCCTTCACACGTACAAGAACAGACCCTCCCCAACAAACCCAGCGGTCTGGCTGTGCGACTGATTTGAATAAGTAGCAGGAAAGAGGGTGGACTTCATGTTTGGATATCCGGCAAGCCCCTGTCCCTTGTCCCCGTTCCTGGTGGAATGAAGCTTGGCACAAGGTAGGCGTGGGGATGGAAAAGCTTGTTCAACAGGTGGAGAGAACTGGCCAAGTCTTCGGAGAAAGGATTTTCCACCCACCCATCCTTCCCTTTGTAAGCCGAAATAACCCACAGATGGATCGAAGACTTTAACAGAACACGAGGAGCTGGTGTTTAGACCAGTCACTGGGAAGCCCACGTCGCACATCAGAGAGCTTGGGCGGGGTCCTGACCCTAGTGCCAACCCTAGGAGGCATCGTGTTGGCTTGAGCAGCTGGATTCCTGCCACCCCCGTGGGAGACGTGGGTTCCCACCTGGCCCCAATCCAGTCCTGGCTTTTGTGGACGTCTGAGGAGCAAATCAGTGCGTGGAAGCTGGCGGCCTCCTTAGGACTGTCTGCTTCTCGAACAAACCAAAAATAAGCAGAAAATGAAATGAATCTGACTTCATAGAATTACAAAACCGCTGGATGAAGACACTCAAAGAGGCCAATGTCACGGTGCGGTGAGTTAAACCACCACTCGAGACGCCCATACCTCACATCAGAGCGCTGCTTCTCTGCCTCTGCTCCAGCTCCCTGCTAACGCATCCTGGGAGGCAGCAGATGCTGACTTGGGTAGCTCAGCCACCTACATGGGGGACCTGGACAGACATCAGGACTCCTGGCTTCAGCCTGGTTCAACCGTGACAACTTCGCGCTCTTAGCAGGTGGACCGGTACAAGGAAATTCTCTGACTCTGTCTTGTTCTCTGTTGCTGTCTTTCCAGTCGATGAAAATAAATAAATATTTTTCTAAAATTAAAGTAAGGATCAATAATAACAGTTTCAAACATCATTTTTAAAAGCTTTTAAAGTTCTGGGAAAGAAAAAAACCACCACAGAGGAAATGTTGCAGGCATTTGACCAAAAGCTGATTTTGCTGGTTGACAAAGAACTTAGAGAGAAATTTGATATGAAAATGATGAATAATTCAACTGCAACACAAGCAAGAGTAGTCCAGCGGAAAGAAATCAAAATAGAAACTAAAGGAATGCAGATTCTTAACATAATATTATTTTTCCCCTTAGGTTGAAAAAAATAAAGATCCCAAAATATCCATGCCTGGCAGGAGCACAGTTGCTGATGGTGTGTGTGATTGCTGAGAAATGGGCAGGACCCGTGGAAGGGAAAGCTGCTGACCGAAGTTCTAAATGCCTGTGCCTGTTAACTAATAGCCCTGTGGGAAATCTTCATGCAGAAACACTCCCAGCTTCGCACCAAGATACAGGTACAAACGGCTGGTGTGCAACAGCACAAGGAGAGAGCAGAGAGAAGAAAGGAAGGAAAAAAAAGAGGGAGGGAACGAAGGAAGGTGGATTAAAGAACAGAGTGAAGGCGCACACGAGGGAAGAAGGAACATTGCTGGGTTAGGACGTCACAGGTGCTTCTGGGATGCTCCGCATAGCCCTGAAAACTTAGGTTTGGCCACGCCCATTCACCACGCCCCTTTCCGGTCACAGCCTGGGTCTCAGGCTTTTGCTGTGTGTCCAACCACACCAGATGGCCCAGATTGGCACAATGGGAGTCAAAGGGTCAAATCGAAAGGGACTAGAGTGAAGCATAAGGGAGAGGACCAGAACAAAGGCCTCGCAGAAAGTGAGGTCAGGTGTCCTAGAGACAAGGGGTGGGGCAGGATAGTGGGATGGGCGGCAAGGGAGAGCAGCAGGTGCTCTTAGCAAAGAGCCTGTCTCCAGGCTGGGCCATTGTTCATTTCAAATGGGGTAACTGAGGCTTGGGTGGCCTTGAATAATGCCAGGAGCACGTGTGAGGTTTGAGACCTGACCCAAGACTGTGGGGTCATGACTCCTTACCCCGACCCATGGCAGCTCCAGGCTGGGGAGAAAGCAAGTTCTTTGGCAAGGAGTACCCTGGGGGTGGGTTAGGGGAGGGAGTCTGAGCAGTCTTCTGTCCCTCCCCTGATTTCCAGCTGGAGCTCAGGGGCCCAGGGAGGTCTATTCCAGAGGAGGCCATGGGATGGAGACATACAGTTATGCAATGGCTGAGTTTTGGTTCTAAACCTGCAGCTGGTGTCTGCCCAGACAGTAAAGCTGTGGAGTGCAGGGTTTGTGAGAACAAGGCAGTTATTTTTCTAAACCCAGGCCAACTTTGCCGGGGCCCTGTCTCTGAAGGCCTCGGCAGCCCCCCAAGCCACCAATGCACTAATGATTAACACGTGTGTCTTAAGCCTGCAAAGACGTCCCCCGTGTCACTCAGTGCCGGACAGGTACTGTGCTTGGAAGGAGAACCTTGATTGTAAAACAAAGACCAAGCACTAGGAGGGAGGCCTTCTCCTGACGTCCCCTGGAAGGAGAGACCCCACAGTGACACCTCAGCCTGGCTGGCTCATCAACAGAGACCACGGCAGGGGCTGGCGCTGTACCGCAGCAGGTTAAGCTGCTGCCTGGGGTGCCGGCATCCATAGGAGCATCTCAGCTGCTTCACTGCCCAGCCGGGTGCCTACCAACGCACCTGGGAAGGCAGCAGAGGATGGCCCAAGAGCATGCATCCCTTCATCTGTGCTGGCTCAGGCTGAAGGACATACAGTGGTTCAGCTCCACACCCTACATGAGCTGTTGTCTGGCAGGCCTTGGGCAGTCATGTCACCCTGGTTCTCTTAGCCTGGCTCGAGCACATGTCTCCCTTAGGACGGCGCCTTTGGACTTCTTTGAAAGGTTGGCTTAGCTGGACTCAGTCCTTGATTCCATTGTGTAAACCTGAGCATGAGTGTATTAAGCTGATCCTCAAAACACCCAGCTGCTTCTTGACAGGGACCACCCTGAAGGTATTGATTCATTTGGGCAGAACTGACGTATTCGTATTTAAGTCATCTAAATCTGAGAGCCTGAGCGTGCTCTTCATGTATTTAGATTACCTTCTAAGAGAAGATTCGTATGGTGCCCTGACGTGAGGAGGGGCAACTGGGAAGGTGGTCCTTAGAGACGGCTGTTTAACAGGCGCCATCTGCTTGGCGATGTCTAGGAAAGTTGCGAGTGTACAGGCACCTAGACCTGACCCGTGTTTGTCCTGCGCCTCTGTAAAGCATGTACAAATGACACATGGTGCCACAATGAGGTCAAATGACACAGTATAATGCAATACGCTGCAGCAGCCACCAG